GCAAGATCCTGAGTTCAACTCCTGGTACCAAAAAGTAAATAAATAAACAAAATCTATTGGTTAAGTGGGGGTCTTAAGAATGCCCATTAGAGGGGTTTTAAGCAAGGGAAACAAATAATCAGATTTTTTGTTGTTTTTTTGAGACAGGGTCTCACTATGTAGTCCATGTCAACCTTGAACTCTATATGTAGCTCAAGCCATCCTGAAACTAGCAGCAATCCTCCTGCCTCAGCCTCCTGAGTGCTGGCATTATAGGTATCCACACTATGCCTCATAACCAGAAGTTTTTTAAAAGATTACTTTGATTTATTTGTAAGGAGATTACAAACCAATGTGGTAGTGCTTGCCTGTAATTCTAGCACTCTGGGAGGCTGAGGTAGAAGTATTACAAGTTTGAGTCCAGCAAGTTAGCAACTTAACAAGACCTTGTCTCAAAATAAACAAAAAAGGACTAGGGCTGTAGCTTACTCCATGCAAAGGCTCTGGGTTCAAATCCCAATACAGGAAAGAAAAAGAAAAAGGAATGTGAAACTGGGCGTTGTGGTGCCCGCCTGTAATCCCAGCACTTGGGAGGCTGAGGCAGGAAGACTGCCACAAGTTTGAGGCCAGCCTGGCCTATATAGTGAATTCAAGGGCAGCCTGAACTACATAGCGAGACACTGTCTCAAAAAAACAAAAAGAAAAGCAAAAGAAGAAGGAAGGAATGGGTTGTAAAGGGACAAGAAAACACATCGCTCAGCTCCACTGAGACTATGTAGTCTCCCAGGGCTCCATGGGAAGCAGTGAGGGCGTGCAGAGTCCAGGTGAACGCATCAGACCTTTTGGAGAGAGTCAAGGAGACCTCAGTTCCATGGGCAATGATCCCACTGTCTGAGATGAGGAAATGGAGTAGAGGGAGGGCTGAAAAATCAGAAATTCCTTTTTTAAAAAAAATTCAGTGTCGGAGATCAAACCTAGGGCCTTGAGCAAGCTAGGCTAATGCTCCGCCCCTGGGTACGTGGCATTTGTCCAGCCCCCAAGTTCCATCTTTAACATTAGGCTTGAAACGTTTACAAGGCGTGTGGGATCACCAGTTTTCTAAGTGGTGATCCATTAAAGTGGTGATCCATTTATATCTTCCATTAAAATAGAGCCCCAAGCATCTCACATGGTCAGTGGTCCTTCTCTATTTGCTTAGTGCCAATAGAAAGAAATACACTTTGCAGCCAGGTGTGGTGGCATATGCCTGTAATCCCAGCACTCGGGAGGCTGAGGCAGGAGGATTCCTGTGAGTTCGAGGCCAGCCTGGGCTTCAAAGTGAGTTCAAGGCCAGCCTGAACTACACACTGAGATTCTGTCTCAAAAACAAAAAACAAAAACAAACAAAAGGAGTCTTCCGTTCTGTTCTGAACCCCACGAGGTACTGTTATTATTTCTTCCTAAGCAGTTAGTCATCTTCCAGAGTTTAATAAACAAGAAAAAGATATCTTTTATGTCATTGCCTACGTATGGTTTCTGGTGTTTTCCATCCTGTGTAAATCTTAGCTTCTATCTCATTCAACTTTCCTTTGACCTGAAAAATGCTTTCTGACACGCATTTCCTGTGTTAGCCTGCTGCCATGGACCCAAAATAGCGTTGTTTTGCTTTCCTTTTAAAGACAGACTTTATTTCACAGCGGTTTTGGATTCACAGCAGCACCGAGCAGGAAGTACAACGCCTCCCTGTAGCCCTTGACGCACCCCCCCATTTCCAAGTGTCTGTGCTGGAGATGCCCTGGTGGGCAGAACCCTCCCCAGGTCCATGCGGACATCTCTCTTCTTGTCTTCTGGCTTTCGCGATCTCTGGAGCAAGATCAGCGATCATGTGCGTGGTTGTTCTATCTCTTTTCTGCAGCTCTTTTAAAGATTTTCTCTTTCTTTTTTATCTTTCAGCAATTTGACTCTTGTGCACCTTTGAATGGGTTTTGTTTGGGTTTTTTGTATTTTCCCTGCCTATGGGTTCCTTAAACGCCTAGGCGCTGAGAATTTACATTTTTTTTTTTTTAAATCTCACTTGGAAAGCAATTGGCTGCTCTTTCTTTTTTTTGAGACAGCGCCTTACAGCGCAGTTCAGGCTGGCCTTGAGCTCACTGTGTAGCCCAGGCTGGCTGAGGCTGCTATTTCTGTGAGCTGTTTTCCGCCCTACTCTCTCTCTCTCTGTTGTCCTCCAGACATGGCAATCGTGAGCAGGTGACACCGCGTGGCCGTGTGGTGGTCGCGTCCTGTGCTCCGCCTTCCCCTCTGAGAGCGGGTGTCACAGCATCGACTTCCTAGCCCCAGTTCACACCTCCCCTTCCTAGGCTCCCGCCTGCTGTTAAATACCCTCCCCGAGGGCTGTACTGCACATGGGATGCTTTCAGTTCTAGGACGCGCTTCGGCGAGGTCTAACGCATGTGGCTACTAGGAGCGGGCGCTGTTCTTGGCAGCAAGGCCTCCTGTCCCCAGGCCGTGGGTCCTGGGCTGCGCGTTCTCGTCCCCGGCACCTCCTCTTGTGCTATGTCCTGGCCGCCAAGACAGAAGCCGCTGTTTATCCCCCAGACCCGCTGCAGCTTTGTTGCTGCCTTGCAGCCGGCAAACAAGAACGGAAACCATGGGCCTAGCACACCAGACACACCTCTCCTCCTCGAGGCTGCAGGCCGGGACAGAGCGGAGGAAGTGACCACAGAGACAGAGCCGGAAGGAAGTGATCACAGAGACAGAGCTGGAAGCAAGTGATCACAGGGGCAGAGCCGGAAGGAAGTGACTGCAGGGACAGAGCTGGAAGGAAGTGATCACAGGAAGGAAGTGGTCACAGGGGCAGAGCTGGAAGGAAGTGACTG